CTGAAGGAACTGTCCAAGGTCCTGAAAGTGCTGGAATGTTTTAGTACCTTTGATAGTGTGAAGGACTGAAGGAACTGTCCAAGGTCCTGAAAGTGCTGGAATGTTTTATTACCTTGGACAGTGTGAAGGACTGAAGGAATTGTCCAATGGCCTGAAGGTGCTGGAATGTTTTAGGACCTTTGACTGTGTGAAGGGCTGAAGTAACTGTCCAAGGTCCTGAAAGTGCTGGAAAGTTTTAGTACCTTGAACAGTGTGCAGGGCTGAAGGAACTGCCCAAGGTTCTGAAAGTGCTGGAACGTTTTAGTACCTTGGACAGTGTGCAGGGCTGAAGGAACTGTCCAAGGTCCTGAAAGTGCTGGAATGTTGTAGTACCTTGGACAGTGTGCAGGGCTGAAGGAACTGTCCAAGGTCCTGAAAGTGCTGGAATGTTTTAATACCTTGAACAATGTGAAGAGCTGAAGAAACCATCCAAGCTGAAAGTGATGGAATGTTTTAATACCTTGAACAATGTGAAGAGCTGAAGAAACCATCCAAGCTGAAAGTGATGGAATGTTTTAGAACCTTGGACAGTGTGAAGGGCTGAAGGAACTGTCCAAGGTCCTGAAAGTGCTGAAATGTTTCAGGACTTTAGACAGTGTGAAGGGCTGAAGGAACTGTCCAAGGTCCTGAAAGTGCTGAAACGTTTCAAGACTTTAGACCACTGGTTCCCAACCTTTTTAGACTTGTAAACCTCTGAGTCCTTTTGTCATACCACTAGCACTCCTTCAGTCAAACATAATGATGATTCTCCAAAAGCAYAACATACAAAAAATGAATCTCAGTCCTATTTTTATTTATTTTTACACACCTGGGAAAAATTTCCACGTACCCCTTGCAATATGCTTATGTACCCCTGATTGGAAATCATTGAACTAAAGCACCAGCTCAGAATCAGACTGGGTGTGATCATACAGCAGGATACTGTGGCCTTCAAGAAAATGAAACTCACAGATGGTGGTCAGACCCTCAAAGTGGACCTGGATAAATGGACCTCCTGGCTAAAACAGCCTTTACCTCAGAGTTTGTGGCCCCCTGAAACAAAACACAGCAAAACAATCTGTTTTAAAAAGCTATAACTTCAGATTAGTTCCAGCTGTTATGCTGAATGTGTTCCTAGAACAAGATAGATAACACAACTGAAATTCTGCTTTATAAAACATGTGCTTGCTCTTAACTCAAGGTTAAATACCCTTACTGTAAATCAACCTTTCTTCAACCAAAAACTCAGGGTTTGTTTAATTTTACAGAATCTGTTCTCTTGTCTGACCCTGATTTCTAATGAACACACCTGTTCATCATGTGAATGCCCCACTATATCTGTAGCCCYACTTTTATCTCCCATACTTGTTGTGTTGTGTCCCATGTTGTGTTGTCATTGCATCTTGGTTACCTTTGCCTTGGTCTAATTTACTTCTTGTTCATCCTGATTTAGTATCAAAGATTTGTTTGCATTATGTACGTTTCCTTACATGGATCAGCCGTCGTACAGCTTTTGGTGTTGTGAGAAGACCCCGCACACGTTCATGGACCTCTTCCCATGCTGTGTGAGAAAGGGACCTGGACCTGAGCAACAGAACTGACAGTTAAACACACTTAGGACAGTGTTTAAAAAGCCTGAAAAATAAAGAACAAACCTAGTGAGCTTGGCATGTTCTTGGTAGGACTGCCTTAGTTCTGAGGAATCTAGACCTTGGGGATAGTCAGAGGGATTATGCGCTTTTGAAATGCTTGAATCATCTTCAGACAGTCCTCCAACCTACAATAACAAACCCCAAAGTGTTAATGGTGAGAAAAATCTGTCCTTTTGGCAAATATTAATCTCAACAAGAACCTGGAGAACTGAATGCTAAAAGAAACAATACATATATTGTAGGATGAAGGAGCGAGGTATCCAGGATCTCTCCTCAGGACCACATCCTGATATACACACAGGTATTGAAAACCTCCCCAGGGCAACCATGATGGATGCAATGATGGTGTATGCAGAATGGTTACTGATGAACAGGAGGGGTGGAGGGGGGTTGGTCAGAGAGCAAAGATTGTTTTCAGAGACAGGTTTAATTTGTAAGATGTGAAATGTTCAGTGGTGGGCAGCACTAATCTAAAAATTTGTTCCGCTAGCCCTAAAACACTAACTCAGATATTTAGGTTCCCTAATTCTAAAGCACTAAAAGAACCCAGTCAACCCATGAACATTCTTCAAGAGACAACATGAGTCACATATTACCATGTTGCTCTCATTGACTTATCATTGACATTCCACAGCTGTATTTGGGTTCAAATATTGTCAATATATTGTCACCTGGTGGATCAGTGACACACATGAACAACATGTGTGACAGTTTTCACCCTCAGCTGTTAACGTTGATCAATAACATTTATAGACCTCAGTTAGTGCTTCTAAATTTAACCTATAAATTTAATAAAAGTTTTTTTTAACACAAGAGAACATGACAGCTAGTTTTACGTTATTTTGACAAGCTAACATTTCTGAAAACATTTTTGAATGTTCTAAAGAAATTACTTTGTAAAAAGTAAAGTTTCATGATAAATGTCCTGATGCATCGCAGTAATCCAGGTAGAAAAGTCAAAAAGAAAAAAATAAGTAGGTCCTCTGGACAGGTTCTTTTTAATTAAAGCGTTTGTCTCTCCTCCAAGAGACCTTTTCAGTTTCAGGTGAACTCAGCCTCATAAGCACTGCCTCCACATGGGGGACAAACAGGTTGGTCACATGCAAAAGAGGGCCATCAGCCTAATGATATGTTGTTAGTGCCTTGATTAGGACCACTCGTGAATTTTGTTCATATCTGAAAAAAATCTTAGAGTACRAGAAAATTGGTGAATGCCACAAATTCTCCTAAATCACTCGTACGCACAACTTAAGAACAAATCTGTTCGTATGAACGGTTCTTGCATGAGGCCCAATGTTCAAAAATGTTTTAAAAAAATAAATGTTCCTTGCAATGGGTGTTTAAGTAGGAACTGGACCATCAGAGAGCTGTACCACTGAGAGAAGGAACAGAAAAAAAGATGCTAATGGAGCTGTCTGGTTTAAATTGTGTCTTTCTGACTGCACCCAGTTCATCCAACTTCAGTGTTTTGTTTTCCAAGCCATCCCCCATAACCACAGGTGTGCCCCAGGGCTCTGTCTTGGGTGTCCTCCTCTTCATCATTTAATTTTCCTATGGTTGCATTTTTCACAACCTTGACGTTCAGCTTCATTGTTATGCGGATGACACCCATGTCTACCTTTCAAGTAAACCCAATGTTGTTTTCCCACCATCTTCCCTTACCAGCAACCCAAATCCTGGTTATTTTGTAACTTTCTTAAACAAAACAGTGATAAAACTGTATTCCTACTCATTGGAACATTATCAACATTATCCAAAGCTGACAGTTCTCCTATTTTAGTCAACAACACTTTTGTTTCCCCCTCTCCTCAGATTAATAATCTGGGTGTCACCCTCAACGGTACGTTATCATTTCAGTCCCACACTAATAACCATCACCAGGTCTGCATACAGTATCTTTATTTGGGTTGGTTCCAAAAGGTCATCAGTAGTGGATGTACAACCTGAGATTTTTTCCTTAATGTTTKGATAAAAATCTGTCCAATGGTTAGTGAATTTTTTTAACACCAGACAAACACTCATTCTTGGACTGTAGTGATAAACACATAAACATTTTTTTAAGAGGAAATATATTTTGTTCCTACCAAACCATGAGAAATTACTTTTCCTCTGGGGGTTGAGGAACATCTCACTAAAAAAAGAGAAATGAAAAAAAAGAAACTTTTGTATTTCTTTGGCAGACAGTAAAAAGAAACTGGATGAACATTACAGAGATCTGCAGACATCAACAGATGAATAACTATAACTCTAGATCAAACAAGCTGGACAAGAAAAGTCTTTGCTTGTAAAGTGYAAAGATAGCTTTATATGAGGTGTTCTACCCGAGGAGGAAGACCTGGTGAAAGAAGATGCTGCTGAGTGGGAAGAGGCAGAGTGAGTGGCTCTGGGCCACCAGTCCAGCACCTGGACCAACGAGAACACAACGATCTGACTCCTACACGCTGAACGTTTGACTTTCTAAATGAACACAGTTAGTCTGGCAGGAATGAATGGGAGACAAACCCTTCCTGAACTGAATGTTCTAACTCAGGATTGAAMAAAACATTTCTTTAGAGATCTGTGACAGTTCACCAGGAAGAAGCATTTATCTCTTATTCTGAGAGCTGTTCCAAAAATCAGCAGAAAACAGACTGAACAAGTGGACCTGCATGAAAAATATTACTGAATTAAAGAGCTACAACTTCTGAAAGAAATGCATATCAGTCACAGCATTTCATACCAGTTTTAGACTAAGCTGTGTTTAAAACTTGTAAATGACATTTTGCACAATCTCATGCAATCCTGAGAGACGTGAGACGTGTCAGCACTTAGCCTGTATTGAAGATTATTTTCAGCAAATTTCAGCTCAATATCWGCAAAACTGACTGAGTTTCAGTCTTTATCATGTTTCCCAGGCTCAGTTAGCTGAGGTGTGCCTGGTTACTTCCTGAGAGTTTTATTAAAAATTGTTGAGTGAGTCATTAAATATTTTTGCTGATACAACAAACAGGCACACGCCCTCAGCAGTGTTCAATATTGAATATTAATTTCTTAAATGATCACAACATTACGATGGGTGATGTTGGCAAACATAAAGAAAAAAAGTGTTTATTTTTAATCTAACCTGATACAGTTTGTTCATTTGTTCTCAGCTCTGATGAGGAGATGTGAGTCAAACTGAGGGAGGCAGAAACAATGTTGAGGAGGAAAAAGAAGTGAGTTTGTTGCAGATAATGTTTGGACCGGGATCAGAGAGTGGATCTATGYTAGCTACTGCAGCAGCCAGCTGTTACAATCTTATCAGTCTTTAATCAGTTATTAAAAAGTTCCTGCA